TTTTGATTGATATATTCTAAATGTTTAATCTAATGTGATATTATTATGCATATTTTTGTCTTGTTTAAATTAGACAAACTTGAGATTGCGCGGTAATATTTTGCATGTTATGTTTATTTATTTGTATTGTTATGCATGTTTTTAATACAATTGCATGAATGTTGTGTTTTTGAATGTCATCGACTTAGTTAGGGTTAGAACCTTAGGTGCATGAATTGTTGTGTTCCCGATCGCTAATCGTTCACGATTGTGCACTCGTTTGATCACCTCACATATTAGGAGAAAAGTCCTAAAATCAATCCAAATTGCCGACAAATGTTTTGAAATGAACAGGGTAAAATGGTACCGAAAGGGCATTAGTTATCCAACTAGTGTAACCAAGTCCCCGAACTCATTTAATCTACGGTTCGTAGGAATAGGGTGATTCTCCCATCACCCTATTTGGGTTTCTAATCGACCCACCCCAAATCGATTAGTGGCGACTCCTTGATATAAACCACTTGCATGTTAAACACTTAAACCCTAAGTCGCGATATGGTATGGGCTTGGGAGAGCCCGAGTTAAGTCCCGAACCTAGACTTAGCACGTACCAGGCGAGCCCCCCTTTTTTTTGCATGTTGTTTAAAAAGGGCTCGGGAGTTCGGTCGCGACAGTTATTATTTCATGACAATATTCAAAAAGATAAAATATTTATTCATGCGAATGTAATATATCTTTCCTATATACGTGTGTGATAATTGACATGTTACATCGTTAATTGACTATGTAAATGTATAAGACAAGTAAAATAGTTGAAGTATTTTTACTCGAATATAGTACATCACTTGTACAATGCGTTTTATACCAAAAGAACGAGTATTTTTTCGTAAGCTTAGTAGATATCCAGGAGACGGAAGTTTTCTCGAAATTCACATGCATATGTCTATATTATATTAAAGTATTTTACTAACGTAGGTCTGTATTGGCTTTAAATTTTGTTTTTTACTTTTTTTCAAATCTTTCGACGTACATATTTCGGTTTTTCTCATTCCAATTTTAAGCACCCGGAACTTTCACAATATGATATATTGACACAGAAATTTACACACCCTAGTTTCATGATTGCAAAATTAGGACAATACCTTAGTCTTTCGGCGAGAAAGTAATTTAAAAGTCCAAACGGATGAAATTTTAAATTGCGCTACGACCTAGATTAATTTCGTAAAAAATTTTAGATAAGAGACAAACTTTATTGGGGAGAAGAAGCTCGATACCTTTCGTCCGAGGAAGGGAGCTTAAGTTTGAGCCTGTTAACATATCCACCCAGTAAGTTAGGATATATTAACACCAATTCTTCGATGTGCTCTCACGTGTGAGCTCCCCCTTACAATTAGGATATATTAATTGCTCTATACTACACCAATTCTTCAATGTGGGATTTTTTTAATACAACTCACATGTGCATTCTAATAATCTTCCTCTCACGTGTGAGCTCCCCCTTAATTCATATATCCTTCTGCATCAAAATATGAAGTCTTACCACTGAGCTTGTATTGTTACACCAAAAATGCCCACCGCTCGGAAATTACGCCAACTTCATCCACTGGCTTTGATACCAATTTATTAAGGAGCAGAAACCTGATACCTTTGGCATGAGGAGATCATCAAGAGGAACTTAAGTCCGAACTTGTTAACATATACAGTTGGACTCACCTTTACTCAAAAACTTAAGCCAGTGAGTTATGGGCCAATTAGGATATATATTAACTACTCTACACCGCACCAATTCTTCGATGTAGAATTTTTTTAACGTAATTCAGATGTGCATCCTAATAAATTTTATTACATTTTTGTTTTCTTAACTATATTATAAAAGTACGAGCTTCCGTTTACCTTTCTAAAAAAATTACAATAAAATTAAAATGGGTGATTGGGACGCAAGTTAGCTCTTATAATCAATCTCTCATCTCGTTGGGGAAAAAAAGGATGTACAAAATCCTTCATTAGAGGGTCAATAAAGATACATGGATTAGTGCGGCAACATGATATCATATGGTGCGCGAATGGTCAGTCAGTGGGGCATATTCTTTCCGTGACTATTCATTACAAGAAATTTGCTCCTTGTTGACCAGCAAACAAGCAACGAAGAGCCGTACACTAAATGGGTTTAAACTCTAATTTGGGACCTAAATTACCGAAAACGCATAGGGAACTTTCATTTTTCGTTTTTTAGATCTAGGGGCACAGGGGTAGAGACATGCCTATTCGGAAGCATGTGGACCGCACTATGAACTTAATTCAGTTCGGGCCTTTGGACCGTGGAAGCGATCCCCGCAATCCCCACGAAGTATGAACAGCCAACACGCGAAAGTCTCGATACCCTCAACCGTATTTTTCGGCCTTGACGAGGAAAGGTACCAGCACGAATTCATTGTGCGTAGAGAAGCAGCAGGACCATATTCAGGCAGCCCCTTTTCAAGTTTCGTACCAGCAAAACTTCCCAAGAGGGATGATGAGAAGCCGGCGGTCGTTTCAAGCACGCAACAATCTTGCCTTGAATCTCCTTCTCACGAAACATGCAAATCCAAAACGGATCAATAGCCTCAAAATCTACGGTTCGTCTGATTTACCCGGGGGGGGGGGGGGGCCCAGGACGAAGACAATGCGAAGTGCTATCGAAGCGTCACGTCACGACGCGCTAGCGGACCACCAACGTGAGAAGCAGGCAAAGTTTTCACAGGAACCAAACAAAACCATTTTGGGTACATCCTGGTTTAGAACTAGGATTGCTTTTTACAATAAAATACGAGGTTGATGTTCGCTATGGGCACGAGGGGAACTACTTTAAACAACTCCAGGAAAGTGCTGAGCCTGGCAACATCTTTAAACGTGCACGAGATCCCCTAGAGCCTGGGGATTCTCCATCCATGCCTTCAGGACAAATCAACCCAAATTACGGATTTTGTATTGGCATGTGGTTCGCGTTGACAGAGGGGTTGCTTTCTAGGCCTTCCAGCTCACCCCCACCAACCAGTAATATAAAGGGATTGACTACTGAATGAATGGTTCAGTTTGACCTTTAACAAAAGGAGCGTAGATATCAACTACAGTTCCAGGGCTGCTTCTTATTTCTAAGATCAATTGCTGAGAAAACATTAGGTACAACCATTGTGCCCACCTGTCAGAAATTTTGAAATGTCTCTCTCCCCTTTCTCCCGCCCTTTCTCTTCCCGTTACTTCCTGTTACTCCGTTTACTTTTCTCTCTCTCTCTCTCTCCAACCACGACTTCAAAGCTCAAACTCCATGGAAGCAAGCTTCACTATGCCATTGGTTGGTTGCGGGCGAAGGCGGCCTCACCTAGACCATCATAGCCGTAGGCAAGGTTGCCTTCGCTTGTGGCCTTCGAAGCCATGGTGAGGTTGGCCTCGCCTAGATCATCGCAGCCGCAGGCGAGGCCATGGAGGTGAGACAAGAGAAGTAGAGAGAGAGAGAGAGAGAGTCGGCGAGAGAAAAGAGATGGAGTAATTGATAAGTGGTACTTACCTTGCCACGCGTCAACTTTACTGCTGACTTGGCACAACAGTTGCACCTAATTTTTTTTTTTCAGTACTCTTCAATATCCCATGATTCAGGCTCCGTTCGTTTGGCGAAAAATATTCTCCCGGAAAATATTTTCCGGGTTTTTCCATGTTCGGGGGGCGGAAAACGTTTTCCGTGGGAAAATATTTTCCTTCCTCCCTCACAAAATAGCCTAAGTCTATGGAAAATGACTTCCTTTAAAAGCGGAAATCATTTTCCGAGCTTCTTCTTCTTCTTCTTCTTCACTAAGGTCGCCGCCGCCCGCGCCGGCAGCTGCCTCGCCGCCGCGCCGCCGCCGCGCCTGCCTGGCTGCCGCCGGCTGGGCGCGCGCGGCGCACGGCCACAGAGGGTCGCCGCCATTGATCAGCGGCGACAAATATTTTCCGAAACTTTTTCATATTGATCACCGAACAGGAAAATTATGTTCGGAAAAACATTTTCCAGAAAATGACTTCGGAAAAATATTTTCCAAAAGGAGAATATTTTCCGCCAAACGAACGAGCCTCTGTGTTCAAGTGAATTGCCTTATGGTATCTACTTCGGAATCCTTGATGGAATCTATCACCATAGCTAGAGTCTGGAGCCAATATTACACCATATACCAGATGGACGATAATACTACTGGGGAGTTACATTTTGCCTCTCAAGTTTTTGAGATTGTGACAAGCATTTCAATTTTCTTAGTTTGCCCCCGAATAGTTAGTGGCAATGTGTTCCTACCATTGACTCAAACAAAACTTTTTCACATCATATACTAGTTGTGAAAGGGGAATTAATCATATATCATCTATACATGTTAGTAAATTATAAGGATTACTCAAAATTATATTTTAGAAGTATATATTGATGTGCACTTAATGTTGACTCCAATCAAATTCTCGCCGAAACTTTAATATATGTATGTACTTATATGACACACTTGCCCTTGGTGATAAGTCCCATGGTCAAAGCTCCGAGTAAAATTGGTTATACTCGATGCCAGGGAAAACATTTCACGGATTTCTAAAATACAAGGGACAAATTACAAACTTTACAACAATCCTAAAAACCTTTTTTTGGATCGAAACAATCCTAAAAACTTGAAGTGGTCGATGTTCCATCATATTCGGAGAATCGTCCTTTGGGGCAATAATACTACTTATTTCGAAGTTTTCCTTATTTCCATGCTAAGAATATATGTTCCCTCCTTGCAGACAACAATCAGATCCAGGCACATCGTGGAGCACAAGCCGATCTTTTCGGTTAAGTAACAGTTCTTTTGGGCCAGAGACAGACAGGTTTACCCGCTTCTAGGCTAGCTCATCGGTATAAATCAGATGAAATTAATCTGTCCAACATTTTTCATAACGACAACTTTCAAGATATCAGGTGAGCTGTGCATAAGGACAAGCACAATAATATGGCACAAAAGATGTGCCATCCCAACACTATCATTAGTCTATGAACCAAAGAAATGCAGTTGTCATTGAAAACTCAGAGCCCGGTTGAAGAAATATCTCCTGTGTGCGCTACAGATCAATTAGCTACGTTTCTTGAGACTATAACATCACAGCTATAGCAAAAATATTAACACCTTTAGAAGCTTAGCAGGCAATCATGTAGACCTGAACTAGAATTCCAGAAGCATCCGCATATTAACCCAAGGATGACAATAATCATGAAAATTTGCGCCATTTCTCATCAACAAAACAAACCCTACTCCGTTTCTGCGTTTCTGCACTAAAGTGCGAATCATCATGCACTAACTACGGAGGTTTCTATTTCTTCTTAAGTGGATTCAGCCTCTCTCTTAGATAATACAGCTTGGCCCTCCTTACTTTCCTCTTGTCCAGCACCTTTATCTCCTTTATGTTTGGTGAATACCTATCACAAGGGACCATTGTAGGTGTCAACTCAGCCATTACTAAAGAGAACAAGAAAATCCCAGCAGAAGAGCTTAATAAACAAGCCAAATTAAGTAAGAGCTCATGCAATATCTTGCAAGCAAATCATTCATATTCTGATTGAGAGTAGCAAAAGAAAGAATGGAACTATGAAATTCATATTGCCAAAACATTAAAGAAAAGACTACCACGACTACTGCATTGCCTTCAATTGCATATTAATATATGTGAGTTATATGATCAAGCCCAAATGTCATCATGTACTAGTCAAATAAGATGCATGTGGCAAATGACAGCTTCGAAATCCAACTAAACAGACACTTCCAAGCTCTCCCATGAATCTAACTCACCAATCCCAAGCATAAACACGGCACTTCACATTATGCCAGCACAGTGTAGTATATACAAATTCAGTAAATAGGCTGCTTTCCAATACAATAAACGACTAATCAAACGGAAGATCCATAATTAGCAATCAAATTGGGGAAGGAAGTAAGTTAAAGCTTACTTACAGCGGAAAAAGAGATTCAATTCCAACTCCAGCAACTAGCCTCCTTATTCTGAATGTACTATTTAAACCAGCATTACGTCTTGCTATGACGATCCCCTCTAAGGTCGATAAACGTCTTTTGTTCTCAGGAACTTCCTGCCCATTGTGCAGAGAGATCCCGTTAATTGACTTCACAAGAGAGAAGTCGGCAAAATCCATGAATACAAAATACAAGACACCCTGGTCAGAACTTAATATACCACTTTCATTCGAACTAAGTAACCAGCTCTTATATCGGGTATGTCTCTCCGAGCCTTCACTTCCTCCACTGCTTCCTTATCTAGAATCTGCACACGCGAGCTGATAATTATCACCACGTAGCCATTCTTTACAGTGAAACCATCATGCTTAGACACACACCTTCATTATGTTCCTAGCCGTTTTATCCAGCCTCTTAAATTTGATGCGAGGAGGCACATCAGTCAAATGCACTGAAGAATCTCGCAAAGGCGCCTTGACCGAATCTCCCGCTGTGGTTATGCATCTACTGAAGAAAGAAGGCAAATGCCACAGATTACAGAGCCACGGCGTAGGACATGGGACGTCACGAGCCAAAGTTGGCGCCGCAGTTTGGGAGCCGGTTGTCGACTGTTAAAATTGTTAAGTAAGCATCACACATCACGGCATTCTATCAAATTCTACAAAGTGAATAGAACCCAAATCTTATCGACACCATAACCATAATCAGTAATCCTACAACCATCACAACTCACGCTGCACCTAAGCTCGTGATAAAGGGTATATACTAGTGAGATCAATGGAGGAAGCATCTTAAAAAAAAAACAAAAGTTTCCCGGCATGCACAGTAATGTTACTCGGAGCAGTTTCAGACAGCCATGGCAATTCAAAGATTGCAAACTGACAAATCCAGCGACAACAAATACTCTCCAAAGACGAACGCATAAACGTGGAGACAGCTCAATGGATCCGAAACCCGTCAAGGGCATCGAAGTACGAGGAACGTGTACAGGAATAGACAGCAAGACAACAAAACTCCAAAGAAACGGCTCCGAGAGACGCGACAACGCACCGCGGAGCCGAACGACGCGGCGTTTCTCGCCGGAAAGCCGGCGCCGCCTCCGACGGCTCGCCACTGGGGAGCTCCGATCCCGCGACGGAGGAATTGCATCGTCGGGGTCCAAACCGTAGGCCGCGACGGAAGAATCCGCGGGGAGGAAGGGAAGCGAATTTGGGGGTGGCGAGCTCGCGCAGGGGCTTCGACCAGAGAGGAATCGCAAAGGTGAAGAACCCTAGCCGAGCGAGCCGAGCTTCCCGAACGAGACGACCGCGAGCGATGTTGCTCTGGGCCTCTGTAATTTTTGGGCCTTGAAATCGCTAGGCCCAATCTACGAGCACCTCGATGTTGGGCCCGGCCCACGCTCCGTGCTCGAGGCCTGGCCCAACGAGAGGGCTTCTTGCTTTCTTGACACGCGAAAGGGCGGGCGCGTACGCTGCACTCCTATCACCAATATGCAAATGGAAAGTCAACGATTTCCCATGCTTGCCCCCTACTCTACTCTATCCTCTTTGGCCACCCTAAAGTCAATGGCTAATATTTAAAACGAAAAAAAATAAAATTAGCAACTATGTACAAAAACTCTATTTGGTGCCTAATTTTCCGTCATCGATATATCAAGTTTTATCTCGCGGGCTATATAATCTTCTTTTCTTTTCTTCTTTTAGTACGGAAGCTATTGACTAACCATTTTCATAATAGATAACCGGAAAAATGGACAACCGATAAGTAAAGGGAAAATTACATAAATGATTCATGAACTTTGATTTAATGTGCAACATGGTCTTTGAACCGTATTCCAATGTGTAATGTGATACCTGAACTTTCAATTTATTCATTGTAATCCCTAGATTTTTTGTACATGTTCAACTTAATTTATGAATTATATGAAACATAGAATATTTTTGTGAACCATTACATATTGAACTAAAATTATGAATCACATTAAATAAAATAAAATTTCATGAATCATGCTGTAGATCATTTGTGTTAGTTTTACGTAAATAAACAAATGTCTTGAGTAGACAACGATGCCAAAGTTGAAGGTAAGGACAAACGTTTCTTTTCACACAAACGCAATTGGCTTTATCATCGACCGTACGGCTCAAGCTTTTGCTTTTTGTTTGCTCTTTCCAAGACACGAGGGGACAAGACAATCAAGCTTTCGAACAATGGAGTCGATGAGCGAAGAAAAGAAAAGAATCGACCTGTTGTGGATGATACTGCTGATGCTGTGCTTGTGCATAGTTTCCTTTCCTCGTAGAACCCCCTTGATTTTCCACGCAACCGTCTAAGGACAGAAGCATCGAAACGAGGTCAAACAATAAACTAAAACCCAAATCACGAGAGCAGATAGAGACTTCTGCAGATCGTAGGTACCTCTTCACCATGATTTAGGGCCACTTCTGTACTGCATATCCCCCCCTTCTCATCGTTCGAAGTCATCTTCTGGGGCCGTTGACTTACTCTACTTAAAGTACATTGCCCCACCCTTTGGCCATTTGATTAGCAACATCTTCTTATTTTAATGGTGGGGGCAGTGGAATTCCTTGCTAGTTTTCGCCCAGGTTATATAAAGGGGGGAGATGGGTACACGTTCAATCATCAGACGGTATCAAAGGGAATAATAACAAAGCCCTTCTCGCATCTCTCCCTCTCTCAGTCTCTCTCTCTGTCTCTTCTGACTCTCTCTCGCCTTGAATCTGTCCTCTTGAGCTTTGCTTGTGTGGCGATCGCTTGAGAGTTGGGAGGAAGGAATCAATGGCGGCACTTAGGACTGTTCTGGCATCACTGGTCCTGGCTTGCTCAGCTCAAGCTTGCTGTGGCAACGTCCTCTTCTCTTCTCTCCAGAGGACCCTCATCGTCTCGGCTTCCCCTCAGCCTGGCCAAGGTCTCTCTCTCTCTCTCTCTCTGTAAATTGCACCATGTTCTTCGTTCGGAATCTGTTGATTACCTCGTAAGAGAAAGCTTTATGTGACTCGTAAGATTCTTGAGTTCAGGATTGATTCTTTTGTCGAAATCTATGAGCTAATCTCGTGTCTTGAACTGAAAAACTGTCAGTGGTGAAAGCCGGCGAGGACAAGATCACGGTGACGTGGCGGTTCAACCAGAGCTTCGCGGCGGGGACGGACTCGGCCTACAAGACCGCGAGCGTGAAGCTGTGCTACGCGCCCATCAGCCAGGTGGACCGCTCGTGGCGCAAGACGGTGGACAACCTGGCCAAGGACAAGACCTGCCAGTACGCGATCGCGGCCAAGGCCTACTCGCCGTCCAACCAGAGCGCCGAGTGGCTGGTCCAGAAGGACGTGCCGGAGGCCACCTACTTCGTCCGCGCCTACGCCCTCGACGCCGCGGGCGTCCAGGTCGGGTTCGGCCAGACCACGGACAAGAACAAGACCACCGACCTGTTCGTGGTCCAGGCGATCACGGGCCGCCACCCGTCGCTCGACATCGCCTCCGTGTGCTTCAGCGCCTTCTCGGTGGTCTCGCTGATCGGCTTCTTCATCGTCGAGAAGAGGAAGGCCAATAAGGCCGGTTCCGCTCCGAATTAAACAGCATCATCAAGTTCAGATGGGACTCCAAGTTTGCATGGTCTAAAGTATCTGGACCACTTCTCCTTTTTTCCTTTAAGTCATTTGTTGTATAACGCTCTCTTTATACGTTGACGTTACCGTCGCATCTACGCCGTCCATGGGGAGCGGGCTCGATTTGGACGATTAAGGTTTTGGACGGTCGAAGATGTAGCTGGAGCATCATCTAATAATGGGCACTTGTGTGTGTGAACGGAACGAGGCTTTACATGGGGGCGTGATGGACTGGGGAGTTCATGATCATAAGTGAAGGGATGTTCATTGCATGTAGTTTTGAAAAATCGGAAGTTTATGATCTTTCTTTGCTTAATATCATGATAAAGAAATTCAGGATTTGTAAGGATGTGTTTATTTGAGTACAAGATTATTTCGCGAATTAATTTTTTAAATTTTCACGCAATTAATTTGATAAAAATGATTAATTAACGAAAAATTATTTATAATTTTATAAAATATACAACGTAAAGTCTTTTTCGAAATTAATCGACTTGATGTAAGAATGATGTGATGGAGAAAACGAAAGAAAAGGTTGGCAATGCGCAATACTTGCTGGACATGTGTACATGGTCAACATCAGCTTGACACAGATGTCCAGCTAGTATTGTGAAACGTAGCTCGTTTTGCTGACTGATTCAACGGCGTGAGGCTCAAGAGACGCAACTGACAAGTGCCTCGGGAAATCGAGACACGATGAATTCGTGGGTTTATGTGATGGTTGTTGGGGCACTAGCTTCCTTGATTGGACAGATTTTGTCGTGCATGCAACATCTTTTTGGGTGCTGGTCTCATGTGGCCAGAGCGAGTACGAACGAGTGATTAACACAACATTTAGTGGCTAATCCTACGGAACGAAAGCCAATGATTACAGAAGCACCGAGAACGAGCCAATGGGGACGGTTGTGCCTCGTTGGTGTTAAAGAGAACCGAGCAACAATTCACCAACAATCAAACTCAATTTAAGATGAATATTTCTCTCAAAACTAAACCATCTAAATCTCGACTTAGCCCTAGCAATAATTAGTAATACAATCTCACAATATATAAATAGAAAGCCAAAATAATAAGGAGATAAAGCCAACATCAATACCAAAATTTAACGTGGAAATTCAACGCGAGAAAATTACTGATCACTCAAAAACTTCCACTAATCATAAAGAATAATAGAATATCCAAAATGTTATTTTCTAGTCACACATTAAATGCTCAAAATCAACAATACAATCGTATTTCCTCGCCACAAAGATAGATTAACATAAACGGAACAAGAAAATTCTAATTGCGATTAGAAAATTCGAAAGAGGGTCTCAAGATCAACTCGTAACCCTCCGTTTTACGAACAATATACTAAAATTTAAGTCAATTCCAATAACATTTGGCCTTCGGATCAAGACGCAAGCTGTAGCCCTCTTTTCCCTCTTCTCCCGCGCTCCTCTCGGCCACTCTCGGTGAAAGGCACTCTCCGTGTTTCTCTCTTGGGCTCCTTCACGCACGCACGCACGAAGCACTTTTCTTTGTTTCTTTCTAACTTTTGAATTTTCCCTTTTTGTTTTATTAAGTGTTGGCTGGGCCCCACGTAGGCGGACCCAGCCAACAGTTCATGTGATTAAACTTAGGCCTTGACTAAATTTTAATCAAATGAATGCGAATGCACTAAACTAGCCGCAGAGAGTGGGTCAATTGCCCCCTAAACTCCAATTTGCAAGGCCCACCACCACCACCAAATCTCCACTTCCGTTTTTCCAATTTTAGGAAGGAAAAGGAGGAGGAAAAGGCGACGCCGAAAGGAATATAATATGTTGCCCAAATTGCACATGTTATCAAGTGAATTGACGAAACGATCCAGTACGAGGATGGCAGTCTTTTGGGCGCTCCAAAACTGGTACTTGAGTAGCTGTTTTACCACAAAAATATGCGGAAACGAGCTACATCTCTTTGCTTTCATGTCTGGTGTCGATAGACATTGCACATTTTATCAAGTGAATTGCCGAAAGGATCCAGTACGAGGATGGCAGTCTTTTGGGCGCTCCAAAACTGGTACTTGAGTAGCTGTTTTACCACAAAAATATGCGGAAACGAGCTACATCTCTTTGCTTTCATGTCTGGTGTCGATAGACACCAGCATGAAACCGCGACTCTAGTGAGCTCGACGCAGCGATAAGGTCGCTTTTCGAGTTCCATGCTGAAAGGCGCTGGCTGAGATGCGGCAAAGAGACATGGATCACAATACCCTTTCAACATAAATGCGTAGGTAGATGCATAGGTCGATCCATCGTATACTTGTAAAGAAGCTATACAGGTACGAGGAATCAATAGAAAGTCAGCACTTTGGTGAGCTGTGAGAAACGAAACTCAAAATCATGCTATCCTTCCAAGAGAAACAATGCTTCATATCCGAAATTTATCAGGCAAATGACTGCCTCGTGCCATTGTGACCACACTAAATAGATCAACAAGTGCATATCAACCTGTGTTGCATCAGCGCTCCATATTTCAACAAAACTTCAGGCTACGAAAAAGGAAGCCGGGTAATCAATAGGATCCCTACACAAAGACATTCTCTACAATGATGGCAGAAATAATGCAAATTCTATACACTCTGATGTGTTTACATGAGCTCAAAGGTTAAAATTGCATATCACAGCTCTCTATTCGACCGGTACCAAAAAGCGATAACCTGTCATCATATACATCGACGTACCCATAAGCATCTGTACCGGGAGGGCACTCCAATGCAGCTTCAAACACTTGGTGATGCACTCCGTGCGAATCAATCGAGTGGCCACCTTTATGATCGTGCCCAGCAAGGCAGACCTTCACGCAGTCGTACTTATGGATCACGTCCATTACTTCATCGAAATTCCACAGGAGTGCCATTTCAGTTGATGCACCAGGATCTAAAGGCAAGTGACAACACACCACTACCTTCTGTTTCAAATTTGTAGCATCACGAAGAACACTATCCAACCAGCGAAGCTGTTCTTCCCCAATGGCTCCATTAAACATGAGGAACCGTCTCTCAATCCCCACTAGCCCAACCGGACTATTCTTGTCCGAATTTGGATTCTTGTCCTGAAGAAATTTCAAGGCCTGCTGTGTCTTGGGATGATTTTGAGGCCAACCAATGGCACTTATATCATACCCATCCAGCAAAACAAATCTGTATTCTGATGTTGGAGAAAAATCGTAGTAAGCGCAACCATCAATGCTCGGAATCTTCAACAACGGAAGTAATTTGCTGCGGGGCAGATTGTAAAGGCAATGGTTGCCAATCATGTGATAGATGGGACCATTAAATTTCTCGAATTCATTCGCAACTCTCAAGACAGTATCAAGAGAATGATCCTTGGGGCAGAACCCGTCAACAATATCCCCAAGATTAACTGCGAATTTGAGATTCCCGTGATGGTTCCATTGCTTAACGGCCCTCTGCAATACGGCAATGCTATGCCGATAGTATCGCGGAACACCAAGGAATGAACGACCGTCAGGAATATCAGCATATTGGACATCGGAAATGACCCCAAAAGAGAAGAGGGGTTTCTTTCCTCGCAAACTTGTTAACCCGTTGACCGAGCCCATAATGCTGTAGACGGAGCTCCAATCCTGGATTAAAGACTATGAAGCAAGTAGATTAAAATACTACACTTCAATCATTGAATTGTCACTCATCTCAAAATAAATGTAGACCAACCAATCATGCGGACATGAGTTTAAAAAATAATTCAAGTGGTAAGATTTACCCAACCATAGAGAAAACGAAACATGCGGAGAACCGAATTTTCCTTCAAGGTCATAATAAGAGCAAAACAGGCCACCAGAATTACAGCATGATCAAGTTCAACACCAATTATGGGTTTCACAATGATCTATGATCACTCCAGCCCTCGAGTACCCTTTGCTTTTCTTTCTCTTCCTGTTCCTTCTCTCATTCAAGATAAATAAGAGAGCATTGTTAAAGAGCACTGATGGCAGGGGCCGTGAAACCATCTACAGAATAGTTACAACAAGAGAACCGATCCAAAAATGCACAAAGGGAAGTCTATTCAATGAGCTCCACCTTAGGACCGAAGAAACTAACAAAGAACTGATGCAGCGTAGAATATTTCACCGCCACCTTAACAGGCCAACTAGCACCGAGCAGATCCAGCATTGGTTCAAAATCCACCTCAAGATCACCATGCTTTTCCACTATGCACATATTTACCTATGTACATCCATGTCCTGCCCACTTCAATACTGGATTTTTCTTATTATCTTCTGTATTAGTTATAATGTGCCACAATTTTAATCCTAATTGTTTTCCGTCAACAGAACAAGCAGGTCTTAGTACATCAAGTTGATCTCAGAGGTAACCATCCCGAATCCTGAAAATGTAAGTAAAATTATCTTTATTTAGAAAATTGTTCAAACCATACAAACTTGGCTGAGCACAATCATTCAATAAAGTGCAAGGCCCAATTTACTTGGTAATCAAAGAACATTACAAACGGTTAAACCCTTAAAAAAAAAGAAAAGAAGTTGATTGAGTTTAATCTGTTCTCACCTCAATTCGATCAAGTTCCCACACAGCACATATGGCCAAATTACGATTAACTTCATGGAAAGCATCCTTGTTAAAATACCAAAGGCCAGGAAGGGACTAGCATAGTTCTGGAGTTTATATGCAAGCTCAGTCCAAACCCAAGTTCTTGAAAGAAAACCAACTTCACCACATACACCGAATGATGTAAGAAGCGGTTTTGCTATGGCATTGGTAGTCATAATCCTACAACTGTTACAATGCCAAGCACTGTGGCGGCAGAGGTATGCTCTTGTGACCCTTGATCCACAAACCAAAATTGAAACATAAATTCCTATGAATCTACCTCGGCAAAAAGTTGGAATAGGAGGTATATTTTGGACAAAACTCCACATTCCTGTTGCTTTCCATCTACCGCTAACATAATCACATTCGCCCCCTCCCCAGCTCCCTATTCAGAAATCGACCCGGCACTCAACCAAAAGGGACGGGAACGCACGCACGCACAAACCCAGAAGGAAAACCCAGGACCCAAAATTTCTGCACAGCAGATTAGGGGACCCAGGAGGGAGAATGATAAAGCCCATCTATCTAAATCACGAACAAAACCACACAAGCGAAACCGGAGGAGATCAGATGAAGTACGGAACTAACAATTGGAATCACAGGGATCGGCAAGGTCCATCGGAAAAGCAAGAAAAAAAGAAAACAATCGCCGCCGAGAGGCGTACGTTAACAGCGACAAGCGACAGGAGTTTCCGTAGGATGCAAGGATTAAAACTAAAGGGAAGAGGAGCGAAGACCTACGAGGAACATACGTGTGCGGGCACGAAAGCGCTCGAGGCCTCGCCGGAGATGGCACTGCGTGTCTTCTTCGATGTTCGTTGGGGGTTGGTCGGTGGCGGAGAACGAGGCCAGGGACAATCGCGAGCGAACGACAACGGAGCAGGATTTGTGCCCAAAAGGGACGAGCGCACGACAAGTCCTAAAACTCGTCACAAAAGTGTATTTGAATTCTAAAACTTACAAAAAGTTCATTTGAATCCTAAAACTTATCAAAATGATTCATTTGAGTCCTAAAGTTAACACCGTTTATCTAACGTTGTTAACTTTAGGACTCAAATGAATCATTTTGACAAGTTTTAGGATTCAAATGCACTTTTGTGATAAGTTTCAGGACTTGTTGTGCATTTATCCCAACAAAAATTTATAGAAGTGTAGGTGGAGTTTGGGGGTCGGTGTTTGGTCGGCAAGTGTGGGGTACAAATGTAATTTCCTCGGCCTCATTTCCAGGCCCATTAGGGGTACCGTCTGCGATTTGGCTCACCGGAAAATTTAATGTCACATTAATTAAGAATATATAATCCAACGTGACTCATCGGTAAGAGGAAGTCAGCAATTTAGTAGGCAAACGATGTGATTGGTTTGGACATCTGATTGGAAAACCGTAATCTTGTTTTAAGAAATTGGGGCAAAATTCAACTTCCTTTTTCAAGAATCCTAACCGAACCCCAATTGTTCATATTGGGCCAAACTCATCCTATCAAATTCTCTCATTGCCCTCAATAGGTCGCCACAAAACCTAAAAATGTTATCTCTCAAATCTTTTACAGAGAATTCACTCAAAAAACTCACTGAGAAAACATTAGCACTCTTCTTAGTTGCTCTAATTATGTAATTCTCGAATATGCTCTATTATGTAATTCTATATACGTTCTCACGTGACTTGCTAATTCAAATTAGGAAACCTCCTCAAATTAAGAATTAAACTCCAACGTGAAAAGTAATTCAACAATTTCTACTTTGTCCGGATTCAAACCACAAATCTTATTCGGGTTTGGAATTTCTACTTGAACCGAATTTTTTTTACGTACTCAAACTCGAGACTCAAACACGAGACATGATTGAACAGAATGTGTGTGAGTAAAACATGAACTTCAGTTACTTCCATTGTCCGAAGCATTCTGCACACTGCTACCAATGTTCACCGAGAGCTTCCTGAAAACGTCTGCATACAAAAAGCACTAACTCGCTTGGCAAGCATGGGACACCGCATATGTTAGGAAACCTAAGTACACATTCTCCTGGGAAAACAAGACCTATCGTCTATACATCCTGTACGTCATCAGCAACAAATGTCCCCTGGAAATCATATGAGATTTGGTCTGGCAATGCCACCACACAAATCTCTCCGGCCTCCTTTCAGCAAAGAATACCTTAGTCAAAAAGAGGATTACATGGGACCTCCCTGATTGTTCATCATGTGCTTGCACTTACGTGCACAGGATTGGGATTGCACATCGATTGCTGCGTCACTAGCCGAGCGTTTCTTCTCTCCGGGTGGTTGCAGATGGACTCTGGAGAGAGAAGCAGGTATGCTGGCTGGCGCTGAAATAAGTTCATTAAAAACCAGATAAGGTTCAGGGGATTGTAAATGTAAGACAAGGCCTGTTTTCCCCAGGCCATCAAGAAACACTAGGCATCACCCAGCACATAACATAAGGATGTGCTCAAGAGAGCAACCCACCTTGAAAAGGAGGACGATCTACAGCTACAATATAACATCAGAACATGCTAAGAGCAAACAGTTAGACTTAAATGGAAGATTGGGTCCTATCAATGGGGTTTGAAATCCCATGCTCCCATCCAATGCCACAATAGCACCATAACGGAAAACAGTAAAACTGCTCTTTGGCTATCTGAAATAGAATGTCCCACTTCCAGGATGATTTAATCTACATCTTATATTGCCATGCACAAGCAAAAAAGAAAAAAAAATGCTACAATTTAGAGAGTTAGAGACAGAAAAACGGATACTGAAGAAAATTTACCTGTAATCTCATTGACAAGACCAAGGGTATGGCCCAACAGAGGAGCATCATTGAACAAAGAAATCAAATTGTATGCAGCCAAGAAATTCTGAAATGCCAAAACCTCCAAACCGCTGTCGGGTTTATCAGACAGTTTCGCTTTCCATTCTCTCACCAGCTTCATTGCTCCTTCTTTAACCTCATGTGTTATTGAAGGCGAAATTCTCACGAGCTGCTCTAACAGTACAATTTGACTGCTCATAACATCTGTCCGCAAATTCATATCCTTACTGTTTGAGTATTGAGAATAAGACCCCGCAATAACATCCAGAACAACTTTTGCAGGGTCAGATGAGTTTTGCAGCGTTTGGGAGATTTCTTCACATATCATAGCATTCTCATTCAAAAGCCCAGTTTGGAAAAGCTGCAAATCTTTTCTAGCTAACATAGTTGGTGGTGGTGGATATTCAACAGAAGAATCATCTGCACTGTGCACAGCAAAATTTTCTGGTTCCTCGGTCTTTATTTGCCTCCGTTGAATAGATCCCAAAGAACCTATCAAACACAAGTCAACAGTTAAGAATCCCAATTGCCCTTATCAAGATAACAGCACCAAACGTGGTTTGCCATAAGGACTTTGGAATGACCACGAAATGAAAATGTAAAGACTAAGGAAAGCCCAACTTTGAAAGAGAGGACGTAATTGATCTTAAGTCTCAAATGCACAATAAGCATCATCAAAGCGATCCAAAAAGTTTCAGTTTGCCAGTCAAACATCTTTGGAGAAATTTTTTGAGCTCCAACTATAGAGCTTGACCAACCGTATGGAACTTGCCAAAAAAGCAATATATATATATGTGTGATGCCAAAATAGCATGAACCTGAGCATTTCAGCCACTCCACCATATTTTCTTTGGAATGCTTCCCGATAGATGTTTTAATGGACCCCAATTTGTTATCTTTCGAAGCAAGTGCCACCGACCGCTCATCGATCAACCTGTCGATTCCCTCAAGCTCCCCTTTTTTGGATTTGAGCTCCTCTCTGTGCTCGTCGATCAATACATTGACAGTACGGAGTCGACCCTCTTTACATTCGAGCTCCTTGGACCGCTCCTCGACGGACCTACAGATTCCCTCGAGTTCCTCCTCCTTCGCCCTGAGTTCAACTCGACAGCCGCTCATCTTATCTTCGAGAGACCGCAACTTTTCGGCTTTCGCCGCGACCTCCTCATCGCACTCTTCGATCGCGCGCTCCAGAACGCTCAGCCTCTTCTCACTCTCGGCATGCGTCTTGAGAGTGTGGTCGAGAAGACTCTGCACCGCAGCCCATTCCTCCCTTGCCGATTTAACCGCGCCAGAGCACTCATCAAGAGCACGCTTCACCGAACCCAACTCCTCCGCTTTCGCACCAAGTTCCCGAGCATTTTCCTGGAGCAAACTCTGCACCACCCCGACCTTCTTCTCCTTCGAGTCCAGCTCCCGCCGCACAGCCTCCACCTCCTCCTTCTTCGAATCGTAATCCCGGCGACATTCCCCGGTCTTCTCCACCAGAGTGCTCAGCTCCTTCTTCTTGTCCCTCTTCAGCGAGATACACTCCCTAAGCGCGTCGCGCGTCGCGACCAACCGGCCCTCCTCCTTCCTGTGCTCGTCCCTGCATCTCTCGAGCCGCTCCTCCACGGACCTCAGGTCCGCCTCCTTCCTCCGGGCCTCCTCCTCGCGCTCCTCGGCCCTCCGCCGCGCCGACCGCAGCCCCTCCTCCTGGGACGCGACGGCGCGGGCCCGCTCCTCGAGCTCCTCGGAGCGGCGCTCGAGCGACCGCCGGACGCCATCCAGGTGGTCCTCCAGGTCCTTCCACGGGAGCGTGAAGGAGAGGAACGAGGAGAGCTGCGACTGCAGCTGCTCGTACGCCTTGGAGAGGTCCTCCTTCTTCACCTCCGTCCGCTTCAGCTCGCCGGCGACTTCCTCCATCGGAGCACCAACGCCGGAAAAACCACCACCCGAAGGGAAAGAACCCACCTGTAGGCTAGAGTTTACGCAGGATTGTGCTAGGGTCACGTGACGGTCATTTCCGAACGGGCAAAGCCAGGCCCCTTTTCCGAGTCCCGTCACGTGAAGAGAGCGAGGGAAGGGCGTGCTGTGCAGGCTCGTCGACACGACACCTGTCGCTGTTTCAGTTTAGGTGGCCGTAGACATGGCCGCGGGCCGGTTTCGGCCCGGGTCAAACCCGGGACCGGCCCGTTGACCGGGCCCGCGGTTCGGAACCGGAACCGGGCCCGTGGCCTACGGGCCCGGTTTCGGTTCCAACAATTTTGGAACTGGTCCGAAACCACCGGTTCGGGGCCCGGTTAAAAAAAAAAAAACTGTAGCAGGATTTTGATTCTTCTATCTCCAAGATGATATGTAAGACGCCTAATGATAACTCATTAAGTTCAAGCCCCATCTCTTTCTCTCTTTTTTTCCTCAAATTTGATTATAATGTATATTTTGATTACATTTTATATTGAATAATTTATTATTTCATAATTTGATAATTCATTATTTTTTTATTTCATAATTTATTTTTTAAATTTTTATCAGTCGGTTCCGAACCGGGCCGGAACCGGAACCGGCGCGGAACCGCCGGTTCCGGTTCATACATGGCTATGAATCGGAATCCGCCGGTTTCGAACCGTGGCCATGTGTAGGTGGGGGTTTGGCTAGCCGTGGGATATGTCAGGCTGTCACGTGAGGAGAGAGAAAGGGCACGCGCGCATGTAAACGGGGGAAGGGAAGTTGGAATTTTTTTTTTATTTTTGGGGAAGTGGACATTTGGCGAGGTGGAAAGTTTCTCCTCGTTTCACAGGTATTATCACATCAGATTCGAGGCACTATGTTGTTTTTTGGTCATAATTCAAGGCACTTTAGGCAGCATTTACAAGCGACTTTGATCCTTCTCAGAAAACCCTTTGAGCCAAAGTAAGTTTCGGGGGTTCCATAACGCGACTTCGATGACTTTGTTGGTGAAAAGTTATGCTTTGAAAATGCTCGAAACTCAAGGCGAGGCTCCCGTCTTTTAAGAAAAGCAACTTCGAAGGCTGATGATTAATTTTTCTTTTCCCTTCGAATGCTGCCCGATAATTTAAATTTCGAGTTTACCCTCAGATATAGAGCGAAGCGCGAGTGAGTAATGGAGTAGTATATTCAATAATTTAGGAAATTCTTATTGAAGTATATAAACTTGGCATACCGTGAATAGTTTAATTCCTAATTAATGGCAATGAGACTCCACTAGAGCCTGTATGATCCGATACCTACGATTCTATGGGTCACAATGGACTTGAGTCTTGCAAGAAATTCTACGATTGCCAACCTCTAACTTAAATTATTCATCGTGGGCTTGTTTAGGACAACGTTTAGTTTTCACTTTTTGCCCTTGTCAGAACTTGTGGCTCAAATTTTCACACATTTAATCGCACGTCAAACTATAGTGCATGCCCCCGTCATTTCAGTAATAAATTGCTCGATGAAGCCTATTAATATTGAAGAAGTTCATAGCATTAGAGTTTAGAGATTGGGTCGAGTTCTTGAAGAACTTGAACAATAAGCTCAGGTTTGGAAGTTAAGGCTAACAAATTTGGCAAAAGTATAAAAATTAGTAAATTTCCTAGTCTTGAGTACAAGCGAGCCAAAAGTACACGAGAATAACTTGGTACAAATAAGTATCTGACTCATTAGTGTTACGTGTATTCTGATATGTTAAGAAGGGTTTGGCTGACACGAGCTCTCATCGGCTATGCTTTAAATTCCTTGTATAGCTAAGGAAGGAAATAATGAGGTGATGCGTACAAGTAAAGATCACTTTTGAAGACTAGGACTTTATAGTCTTTGACACACATGGAATCGAGGTAACTCGTTATAGATGATGTCTGGATCGTGGACGTATCTATAGATTTTTGTAAGGATTCGAGAACAACTTGTTACAGATGATATCATGAGTCGGTGATGCGTTAGTTTTAGTAGATTAAATTCTAGCTTGATGTTAGGGAGAAGAAGGATGCTGGAATATCCTACTGGTTAATGCCTATCACGAAGGACAAAGGTTTTCAAGTGAAAGACTCTTTGATCGGTTGGTGTGTCGTCGCTTCTCCAAATTAGACCGATACCAAACCAGTCGCGATGTGTTGGTTCATTTTGGGCCAGGACAGAATGCCTAATCGTGATACGAGACCCGAAGATCTAAACTTCCTCGAGGAAATTTAGCGCTGTCAAAAAGTACGGAGAGAGAGAACCCAGTACGAGCGATCCGTTGGGAGGTGAAATGACATTTCGCAGAGCGGGCTCCCTCCTCGTATAGTTGGAGGAACCAAATGAAGAAAAATTCAAAGGTGACAACAATCAAATTGAGCTGGGGAAATCGGCCAAACCAAAATTTAACACAAGAATTTCCAATTAATAATAAATCACTGATTCAGGTTATCTGTTGCTGTTAACTACACATTTTCAGAATTTGGAGGTCAACGGCCCCGAAGTTAGATAGCATCGCAGGGGCCATTTGGTGAAAGGGGCCAAAAGAGAGAATTTTATTCAGGCGGTGCTGCCCCCGAAAGCCACCCGTGCTAGCTATATACAGGGGGTCTTGGCCGATCTGCTATGGCAGATCGGAGGGGCTACCCCCGGAGGTGATCCCTCGTGAAAAAAGGGTGCCTGAGAGCTTCCCGAGCTGTCAGTCTGTCCAAGGGATCGTATCTGAGTAACCCCTGTAACAAATGTATCAGGTCTCCTGCCGAATGGTCTACGTGCTGCATTATCAAGTTCTGCAGTTGCAAAGTATCACTCAGCAATGCAATTCAAGAGGCACTGCCTAAAATCAGAGAAAAGTCGTCACGCCAGGGACTCACCTGAAGACGCGGAAGCTTAAGAACTGCTCTGATGCTTTCTCTAGAGGCAGCACCTTCTGGCCAGTCTAACCTTCCCCTTCTAACGTACTTCTCCGCATGTCGGCTGAAAACCCCGATGCATCCAAAAATTATTAGCATGGGTTAAACTACAGTAGAATAACATCAGAACCACCAAAAAAAATGAGCACTGACTCTGCTCTCTTCAACATGTGCGGAGGCAGAGGACCTAGCACTCTTTCCATCATTGCAAGGTGCTCTAGGTTCTCGTGGGTTTGGAATAATGCCTCACCCTGTCATTAAGCAAGTCAACAAAAACCATGAGTTTCAAATCGCTTGTCATCATGGTGAGTGATTAAGACTAAGATAGCCTTGAAGGTGACTCATACCGTGCACAACTCCACAAGAATGCAACCAACACTCCACACGTCACAGGGATAGCTCCATCCAAGTCCTGCACAGCATCAACTATTAAAACCATTCTCACTCAAGTGACAGAATAAAGCAGAGTAACAATGCCCTTACCAAGAATGACCTCAGGAGCCCGATAATGTCGTGTTGATACAATGTATGTCTGGTCCTGACGTTCATACGTTGTGCTACCAAAATCAATCACTTTAATGGCACTCGATTTAGGGACCCTTTTAATGTAGGAACTGTCCCTCGGTGACCGAGACGAGCCCTACGAACATCATAACGATGAATAAAGTCATTCTATATTTTATAACATGAGATAAAACCATGCTCATTAAACATATGAACATCAAGGTACAGGTGATAATACCTTGTAATCTGGGACTTTCAAATACTCTGGAGAAACAAGAAGGATATTCTCAGGTTTCAGATCGGTGTGTATGAGGCGCAAATCATGCATAACTGCACATAAATCCCAAAATTGAGGTTAGAAGTCGAGTCTATTCAACATAAAAAACTATTTCCTGTTTGGTTTCTGAAAGTCTGATTATTTTAAAAGGCCAAAACTGTTTCTACTCTCTGAAGAAAAAGAAAGAAAGCAAAAACAAAATATGCCTCTCTCCCACAGCAAATATATTAAGATAAAATTCAACTGCGTTCCAATTATAAATCAGATGCATGAGTAGAAGAGACTAGCTTAGTGATTACTACACACATGCTACACATTCCAACAGTTGTCTTCCAATCTCACGGACAAGATCAACGGGAAACGAGCGATAATTGTTTTTCCGTAGAAAATCGTATAAGCTTGGTCCAAGCTTCTCAAACACCTGTTCAGCACCATTTAAATTCACCCAAAACTTCAACCCCCAAACTGTTGGTTAATTGGGGAAATCAATTTATCACAAACCAATCATATACTTACAATACAGATATGGTTACGATAGTCAAACCAGTTCCGTATTTGTACACAACTGCAAGGAATAAACCCATTCAACCATTGACAGAGTTTTAGATGTGAAAACAGAAAGAAAATGTCATGTTAAACATAAAAGTAAGAGAAATCTAACCAAGAGGGGGGCAAACTTACCGATTGCCACCCTTATCATGCCTTCCCAGCTGCAGTAGAACATCAATTTCGATCATTGCTGCCTCACGATACTTCTTAATCCCCCTGACAATCTTAATAGCAACCATTTCCTTCTTTTCCCTGTCCCAGCATTCTAATACCTGGCCAAATGTTCCTGTAAAAAAAATACAGCATCCATCAGATGCTGTTCGGCATTGAAAAAAGCACTCATGAGATGAGCACCAAAGTATTAGTACCTTCACCCATTTTGCTGTGAATCTTGTCTGCAAAATGAAAAAGAAAGTCAGAAATGTACATTTGACGATTAATCAAAATGTAACAATTCAATCAGAGGGAATGAACAATTTTAGTTTCAATTGCTACTTTACAGTACTCGAAGAACTTCACTAACAAGAACTACTAAAAATGTACATTTGATGATCAAGTCACGAGCAAAAAATTTCTAAATAGGCAAACTTAGAAGATTAAACAGACATCGTCCATGCAAAAGAAAAGGCTAGAGTTGTCAAAAAACAAAATGGAGAATTTTAAAATGATAAAGAAACAAGTAAAACACTAATTACTGAAAACATTTTTTTATGCAAATCAGATCCAACAACACTTCACTAGAAAGTAGTAAGTGTAATTACAGCGTGATGTTAAATTATCTCCAAGCTCAAACATGTAATGCCCATCTTTGTCATCTTCTCTCCATGGAGGAGAACCATTTCGAGCACCTCCCTTTACAAATAGACAGCTAGTAATATAGTCTGAGGGTGCTGTTGATGGTGCAAAGCTTGTCATAAGGCCAACCTCTTGTCCACAAAACATTCCTACCTGGGCCTACACACAGCCATCCATCCATGTACCACTCAATAATATAAATCAATATTTTCATCATCATACCTCACACCACCAATATAATTCTGTCAGAACTAGTTAATACATTAAAAAATCGGGAACATCACTGAGATATAGCATACACAATTCTACCGAATTCGACCACACACAGTCCCCAATAAACAATGCAAGAGAATTAGCACACACCCTTGTACTGATAAGAACACAAGCATTTAGCCCGACGCTATACAGAAATAACCAGGCAAACCCAGATTTCAATAACATCCAGAAACCAAAAACAAACGCTAACCGTATGAAATTCTTATAAGTCAAACCATGTTTTAAGAAGATCTTGAGCTCTACCTTCCTTGATGCTTAACATCGACAGAGGATGAAAAATGATAACTTCCATATGTGCTATCAATTGACATCTATCGGCACAGATATATTGACCAAGGACAAGAAATTCTTACAAAAATTCATTTCCCTGACAATTACGAAACATCACGACCAATACAAACTAAGACGCGTTTCCGACAAGCTTCTGGAAATACAGAAACACAACCCTCACATCAGTTTCGGATCAGAGACATCGTAAAAAGGAATCAATCAAGCAGATCGATACGAATCAAGCAGATCTCTCAGATCCGGCGAAACACAGGTCAAGAAAACGCAAGAACGGCGACAGATCTCCGATCTGAGAGAACGGATCAATTATTACCTCAGGCGCCTCAGGCACGTCCCAGCCCAAGCGAGCCCTCTTCCTGGGCCGCCGATCCATGTGCGTGTGCGGGAAGTCGGTCACGCGTTCCATCTCCATGATCTGGAAAACCCTAAATCGGAGCAAGAAAACCGACGGAGAAAGCAAAGCAAAGCAAACGCAGAGAGAAAGGTACAGCAATGGGGAACGACCACAACCACGACCAAACCCTAATTTTAGTTAGCCTGACGACGACGCGTGAGGCGGTCGTGAAGAGATCCGGACGTACACGTGGCGCTCCGTCGACCGTGCGTTGTGGGGATATCCTTTCCGCTCTCGCGCATGGGATGCTTTTTTGCGGGGTCGTAATATTCCCGCTAACCGCGGTCAGGATGTTGCGCTGGATCCTAACCATGGTCGAGTCATGCTTTATGTTCAAATCGCTGGTTGTTTTGTCGTCTAGAGAAATGGGTCCCTACGCGCGCGTGTTTGCACGCGCCGAGCCAAAATGAATGCTGAATGGATCGGAGAATGGGCCGGCCTCTTCTTGTAATGGGCCGAATGGATGATGGGTAGGCCCAATGAAGCCCAAAAGGAGAGCTGATTGGGGGGCCGAGGTTTCGGCCCATTAATCAATAACGGAGAACCCCAACACTTCTCTTAGTAGAAGTATAGAATTACTTTTTTTGTTTTTGTTTTGGTTTTATGGTATTGCGATGTCCGGGATTAAATTGGTGACTCGCTAGTTCCTCATGGGATGTGACAGTCTCCCTATTCGCTACTAATACTGGCCAAGTAATTTCGAAGCCACGAGAATATGCCTGGTTCTTGGGAGAGAGTCGTGAACCTATGTGTTTTTAGAATTATCGCTTGGTGTTGTCCGAGTTGATTAGGACAGGGCAGTACTAGATAGGGTATTAAGTCGAACACCCTTGATACCATAAGGTACTGTGGAAGAATTCATATAAGGAAAAGGTGATACATGAGAAGTTGTTTGCTTAACAAAGGTGGCGCACAATAAGATACGAATATATCAATATATTGATAGATCGATTGATTGGTAGACAGACTAATGGTGGGAGAAATGCTAGAACTTTTGAGTTTGTTTACTAGGGTAGCGAATGATAAGATAACCATTCCTGTTGAATGAGTTCGAACCGAAATAGATTTTTCTATTTCTCGTTCCTGGATGAGTTTCAGAAAAAAAACCCGTTTGATAATGACAAAAATTTCTATTTCTAGAAATGTAAACCCGTTTGATAACAAGACAAAATTTCTATTTCCCGAAATAAAAACCCGTTTGATAAACAATGAAAATTCTATTTCCAGAACAAAAATCCATTTTTTAGAAATGGAATAAAAATCCGAAAAATTCATAAAAATCTTTAAAAGAATTCGAAAATCCCAAAAAATTGAAAAATTCCAGAAAAAATCATCAAAATGTCGAGAAAATAAAAAAAATTTAGATTTCGGGAAAATAGGAAATTTGTTGAATTTTTTCAAAAAAATCAAGAAATCAAAAATTTCAAAACTTCACGAATTGCTTAGAATACCTGTGGTCACCCACTTTTAGTGAAATTTAAATTTTTTTAGGTGCCCAAAAAAAATCAAAAAATCAAAAATTTCAAAACTTCACAGAATAGTTTAGAATACATGTGGCCACCCACTTTGAGTGAAATTTAAATTTTTTAAGGTGCCCAAAAAATTCAAAATCTCAAAAATTTCAAAACTTTACAAAATGGCTTTGAATTTGTGGCCACTCACTTTGAGTGAAATTTTAATTTTTGGAGGTGAAAAAAGCAAAAATCAAAATTTCAAAACTTCACAGAATGACTTAGAATACATGTGGACATCCACTTTGAGTGAAATTTAAATTTTTAGGTGAAAAAAACATAAAAATCAAAATTTCAAAACTTCATGAATGACTTACAATACCTCTAGCCACCCACTTTGAGTAAAATTTAATTTTTTTTAGATGCCCAAATGTTATTTTTTATTTTTTTTTTATTTTTTTTGGTTCTTAAAGAAAATTAAATTTCACTCAAAGTGGATGGCCACATGTATTCTAAGCCACTCTGTGAAGTTTTGAAAATTTTTCTTTTTTGCTTATTTTTATTTTTTTTCGACACCTAAAAAAAATTAAATTTCACTCAAAGTGGGTGGCCATAGGTATTCTAAGCAATTTTGTGAAGTTTTTTATTTTTATTTATTTTTTTTTTTTTGCACCTAAAAAATTTAAATTTCACTTAAAGTGAATGGCCATAGGTATTCTAAGCCATTTTGTGAAGTTTTGAAATTTTTTTTTTTTTTTTTTTTTTTTTAATTTTTTTCGGCACCTAAAAAAATAAAATTCCGCTCAAAGTGGGTGGCCACAGGTATTTTAAGCCATTTTGTAAAGTTTTGAAATTTTTACTTTTTTTCTTATTTTTATTTTTTTGGCATATAAAAAAATTTAAATTTCACTCAAAGTGGGTGACCACAGGTATTTTAAGCTATTCTGTGAAGTTTTGAAATTTTTTATTTTTTTTATTTTTTTCGGCACCTTAAAAAATTTAAATTTCACTCAAAGTGGATGGCCACAAGTATTCCAAGCCATTCTGTGAAGTTTTGAAATTTTTATTTTTTGCTTTTTATTTTTTTATTTTTTTCGGCACCTAAAAAAATAAAATTTCGCTCAAATTGGGTGGCTACAGGTATTCTAAGATATTCTGTGAAGTTTTTAAATTTTAGAATTTTTTATTTTTTTTGGCAACTAAAAAAATTAAATTTTGCTCAAAGTGGGTGGCCATAGGTTTTCTAAGCCATTTTGTGAAATTTTGAAATTTTTTATTTTTATTTTTTTCGGTACCTAAAAAAATTTAAATTTCACTGAAAGTGGGTAGCCACAGATTCTAAACCATTCTGTTAAGTTTTGAAATTTTTGATTTTTTGCTTTTTTTTCTCACCTCAAAGATTGTGACTTCCATATGAATATGTGTGTTGAAGAAAATGAATTCCTCATAAATGGTTCTCACTTTTGTTCCAGAAATGAAAAACCAACTTTTTTTTGGTTCTCATTTCTGGTTTCAGAATCAGTTTTGGAAGCAAACTTGTCTCGGAAATAGAAAAATGAAATTGCTTTACCAAACGGGTTTCTGGTCCAAAACTGATTCTGGGAACAAAAAACCAGTTCTGGACAGAACCAGAATGGTTTTCATGCAGCACCTAGATAGTCATACACGAGGGAATGCGATAGGAGGCTCGTATGCATGTGTATGATGCGTGGGGTTGCTTGTAAACAGGGGAAATTGATGTGGGCGGTTGAGAGAGAGAAAGAATGATAGATTAAGGACAAGAAAAATTGCAAAACAAGTCATAAACCTTATGACAATAAAAATCTAATCAAGTTATAAACTTTTTTATTAGTTCAATCAATCCTAAATCTTTACAGAAAGTCCAATTAAGTCTTAAACCTTTGAAATTATGACACAAATGATCCATAAACTTTGACCCAATATGTAATGTGGTCCATGAACTTTTAATTTGTTCGATATGGTTTCTGAACTTTCACCCAATGTGCAATATCATCCCTGAACTTTTGGTAAATATTCAAATTGGTCTCTAGACAATATGAAAAAATCTAATATTATCCTTTCATTAATTTAAGTTCAAAGACAATATTAAATATTTTCATATAATTCATGGACTAATTTGAACATATATCAAAAGTTCAGGAACTACGTTAAACAAATGAACTGCACTTTAGGCTAAAATTCAGGGATCACATTGAACAAATTAAAGTTCATGGACCATATTGCACATTAAGCGTAAATTCAAGGATCATTTGTGTCATTATCTTTAAACTTTTTATTTGATTCAATTAAGTCCTAAATATTTAATAATAAATGCAATTATGCCTCGAAACTTATGTTGAAATGTGCAATTTAAGGATGTTACATACACAATTGTTTAGCGATGCGATGGCATTTTTCCAAATATTGTTCAAAATGGACTTGAGGACACTTTTCGAAAAAGTTTTCGGATTTAATCGAATCAAATAAAAGATTTAGAATCTGACCGCATTCCACGCATAAGGGCTAAGACTTTCGGTGCTCTTTCTCGAAAAAGCACATGATCGGAGAAATCCTGGCGATTCTCAAATGGATTGAGGTCGTCCTTTCGTTTATTTTATTTTATTTTATTTTATTTATAAAACACACAAATTCATCCCGGACTTTTCCTTCACTTACAGTTTTTACCCCCCAAATTCCCAAAATCCAACCTTCTCATGTTAGAAAACTTCCAAATACTAAAGTCTATCATTACAAAACGATGTGACCCCATATACGCAAGGCAACATTTGACATGAAGCGCCTTGTCGAAATTAACACGAAATGGGTCCATGCGCATGCAATGCATGTCGGTCTTTGGACGGTCCTAAGATGGAGACAAACGATATATATCGTTGTTTTACTCGGAAAAAGATGAGAGAGGTGGTTAGAATGAATTGGTCAATCGAGCAAAATTTTCAAGCTTAGACCATTTTTATTTAATTTCAATTGCTTGTCATTTTGCATTCTGGACTAATCCTCTCCTGTTGCCGAAGTAGGTGCCAAGTCTTTGAATGGCAAAGTCATCTCAATCACCCTCTCCAACTAAGAGATCTCTGTCTTCTTATGTGCTTTTAGGCCATACTTGAGCTTAACTTTCACGCATCGACCACATCTATTTCATCGATCATGTCGGAGACAATATCATTCACATAAATACAAGCGGCTCTTTGAGAAATTTGCATATGAACATAATCTATCGATATCTAAATCACCCTCTTCAAGAAAGAGATCTCATCTTCTTACACGTTCTCAGGCCGCACTCAAGCCAACGTTCACGCATCGACAACATCGATTTCATTGGTCATGTCAGAGTCACATCATACACATAAATTAAAAGTGATTCTCGAGAAATTATATCCGTACGATTCATGAGATGGCTCCTGGAGAATTATGTAAGAGTTAGAAGCACACTAACGTTGGCTCCTTATAAACCCTAATTCAATAAATATCTAAAATCAAGCTTGTACATGTCATATCCTTCTACGATTAAGGATTACAAGGAGCCAACGAGAGGAGAGGAATTGGTCCACCATATCTGGTGAAAAGGACTCGCAGATTCGGGGAAAGGCACACTAATCAAAACCATGATCAACCCCTTGTTCCATCCAAGGCACTTGCGGACACTGAGAGTTCAGT